TAGAGAATAGTTTGTTCTTTTTTCTGTATTTCAGAGCAATCAAAAAGTCAATGCCCGCTGGACTACAGATGAGCAACTACTTGCTGTGCAAGGTAGTAGAAGGTGTTGGATCTTATTTAGCTCATAAGTCAAATTTGCTGTGCTGTATATAACATACAATTTATGATCTTTTCAGGAGTCCGCAAGTATGGCAAAGATTTCCAGGCTATTGCAGATGTTATTGGTAATAAGACAGTGGGGCAAGTTAAAAACTTCTTTGTGAATTATCGGCGCCGCTTTAACCTAGAGGAGGTGCTCCAGGAGTGGGAGGCTGAGCAGGGAACTCATGCCCCCAATGGAGACAGTGCCACCTCTGGCGAAGAAGGGAAGAACAACTCTAACACCCCATCTGGAAAGAGCACAGATGAAGAGGAGGAAGAGGTACGTTAATAGGGCTGGAAGGAGAAATGAATACCATATACTATAACATTTTGGGTTTAAAAGTACATTTGTTACACAGAGACTAATAGATTTGCAGAATTACATTACATTTTTAGATCTTAATCCACAAGAAAGCACTAGAGATGAAACGATATTAAAATTTCATATCACGATTATCATGACCAAAATTATCACGATTATCGGTATTATCGCAATATTGTTCAAATGTTTTGAAAAGTAAAATAAATAAAAAAATAAATACTGATACACAAACTAAAACTTGTTTCACCAAATTTTATTTTAATAAGGTCAATACATTTTTAGTATTACTTTTGTATTACTTAGAATACTGGTAATACTCTGTAAACAAAAGAATAGCAAATGTATTATTATACAGTTATTATTATTATTATTATTATTATTATTATTACTGTTACTATTCTTTTTCTTCTTCGTCTTCTTCTTATTATTATTATTATTAATTACAATAACTAGGGATTTCCATGCATAGAGAATTAAATCTCGACCAACTCTGAGGTGGGTCTTAATGGAAAATTACTACTTCTAAGAGGTGCTGCACTCGGGGGATTTCTGTCCGAACTGCAGCTGCAGCATTATTGTGCCGTTGTGGCGCTGTTCCCCTAATCAACACAGTGCACCAGGAAAAACAGCCAAAATCACAGAGGAATTGTGTGACCGCGCTGTGAGCTGCAGACAGTGTAGAACTCACACAGTGTGTCTTCACCTGTGGAGTTGCTTCTCTAAAAGCATTAAAAACTAAAACATAAAATTAACGCACATCTGAGCTGCGGCAGAAACACTCCTGAAGTTTAATCTCTGAAACTTTTCCTAAAAGCAGCACGCAGGGTTTACTTGCGCGAGGTCCCGTCTCAAAGCACACTATCTTCCCTATGTAGTTCACTTCGTGGATCATGAAATAGTAAATCCTTCACCCAAAGAGTGCGTGAAACGTTCGACTAAGTCATCTATAATCAACAGTCCCTATTTAAAACTCAACTGCTTGTTAATGATGATCGTGTTTGTTTGAACAGTAGCGCACTATGTAGGGGACACTGAGTGATTTGAGACGGTGTTATTCTCAGACAGTAAACACTGCAAGCGAGACGAGAAAGGGGAGCTGTGCAGTTTGAACCTCTGCAGCGTCCCGTTCCAGAGCTCGTGTGACTGTTAACTCCGAGCTCATTTTGGAGACTCTGCTCCACAGAAATGTGTTAAAAGCTTTAGTTTCGATTCACAGTTGATTCACTGATTGTTTTTCTTTTTTTTTTTTGACGCTAAAAGCTTCATTTTATATGATTAACGAACCATAAGCATAGGTCAAACCACACAAACCGTGACATTTCTTCTATTTCAAAGTCTCCACAGACTTCTACGTTAAAGTTAACCTTGCATTCTCTAAAAAGTAGCGGGTGGTGGTCGCAAAATGATTCGTAAAGTTTGATGTGTTGCCCCCTTTCGCCGCTATTTTCTTTCGGCATGTTCTGCAGACAGGGTGGTCATCTTCAATTAACTTTCCTTCTGCATCCTTATAAAACCAAAAATATGACCAAACGTCAGACTTGGTCTTCTTAGAAGGCTGAAACGTCTCAGAATCTCCGAGTTTTCACACTGCGGTAATCGACCGCGGTTTTAACGATACTTTAAAGTTCAAACGGTACTGCTAACAGCCATTAATTTTACCGCGGTTTATCGTGAAACCGGTAACCGTTTCATCTCTAGAAAGCACCAAGGTTTTCATCCATTACAGGACCATCATGCAGTTAGGATTGATAATATAATGCAGTCGTTCACAACCCTAATGCTGAGGCACCCCCTGTCTGCACGTTTGAGTGTTTTCCTTCCTTCATCTGTGTATGACCTGCGGTGTTGTGGGTAATTCACAGTTCTGTTCTTAGAAATAAGAGATGAACAAAACGTAAGCTTCATTGGATATGACCAGCTTTTCTTATGGAGGCTTAATGTACAGACAAAATGTATAAATCATGATTTATTGCAATATCATATCAAAATACTTAGCATATCATAGTTTTCTGAATATTGCAGTAGAGTCATGTCACGGAATGTGTAGTAATTCCTACCCTTTTATTAAAAAAAAAAAATGAACAGGTAAGCCAGTTGTACTTCATGTTAATTAGTTCAAGAACAGTAATATACTTTCTTCTTCTCTAGGGTCTGGTGACTCCTGCCTCTGGGCCATCCCCTGTAGCTGTAGCCACATCAGGTATAGCAGCAGTGAGTGGCAGCACCTCCTTGAACCAGCCTCCCCCCCTGCTCCGGCCCTCCCTCCCTGCCACACCTGCCTTGCACCGGCAACCGCCACCTCTCCAGCAGCAAGCCCGTTTCCTGCAGCCTCGGCCTGCTCTTAACCAGCCACCCCCACTTATTCGACCTTCCAACCCCCTCCCTCCGCGCCTCAATCCCCGGCCAGCTGCCCCTGTGGCTGTCGCAACCAGCCCAGCCATGGGCCAGCAGCCTCCCACACTGGTAGGCATCCAGCCTGAAAACCCCTCATCCTCTCTGCACTGAGCATTAGAGTGAGAAGGAGGGAGGGGTTGGTCACAGTTGCTATCAGTTATATTGTGGTATTTTTCTATCAATGGTTGTCCTTGCAGGACAGTGTTTATCTTGTATTTCTGAATATTAGCCTAAGACTGAGTTTTTAAGCTGTAAAAGGTTAGATGATGTTTCTATTTATTTGAAAATACTTGTGTAGCCGACTAGTTGATTTTCTTTTTTCTGTTTTGAAGTGTTTTTAATTAAACTCTCAAGACCTTGTACTGGTGATGAAAGAGACATTTGTTCAGCAAAATTGTCTGACAGTCAGAAGTTCTGTAAAGTAAGTGGTTTTTAAATCCAGAGTAAGGGGATCCTTTTTAAAATGAAAGGGATTGACTGGTCCTTTTGTTTTATTTCCTTTTTTTGTAGTATGTATTGGAGCTTCTGTGCATCATTTTTGTGACTCTCTTGTCATATGTATATAAGCATTATTTATTTTTATACCTGGTGCTAAGGACTCCACATAGCTTGATACTTATTGTCCAGATTATTTTTTACCATGAAAGTGCTCTTAAGATCTAAGAGAACGTTGTGTTCATTTCAAACTGGAAACTTGGTATTAAGAACCCCCGTTAAGGTTTGCATTTTAACTTTGTGCCGTTCTGAATTCATATTTATAATGTATCCAGCTGCACATTTTATCACAAGCTGCTGTTCATTAGGCATACATAATTAATGATTTTCACACTTGATTCATGTATCTACACCCTGTTTGCTATAAACACTAAAATAGCCTACATTTTGTGCATATTGTAAACTCTCATTTCTCTGTAAACAATATTATTTATTTGTGTATGTTGGTTGATGTTTATTTTCTTTTTTAATCCTTGAGAAATGTAAGATATAATAGAACCAGACATTAAGCTGTTGACTGTATGTGCCTGCGTTTAATGCCATACTGTTTGGTGCCCTTAAAAAAAACAAACACAAAAAAACCCCATAGAAATCATGTCACAGCATGTAGCATTAAATTGTGTACCTTTTTATACAGAGGTGGTATTGTGTATGTTTATCTGCCTGTGTCACAGAAAAACATGATGTTCTTCATTTTGTTGGTTGAAAAATTCATTGTAATAATCTTTGTCAGTGTTTAGATGTAATGGTATAACTTTTTGTTCACTCTCTTGGCAAAGATATTGGGTTTGCGCTCCACTGATGTTAGTGCATGTCCTGATGCCTGTAAGTTCACTGTATGTTTTGTTTTTTTGTCTGTTTTTTTTTCCCTCCGCTTAATATTTCCTCGTTGTTGCACTGTGGTCTGAGTTCTGTCATTTTCAGTCTTTTAGTCTTAAAATTTTCCTGTAAAATCTTGACGTTTCCTTAATATATCTCGTTAATTGTATCCATTTTTCACGAAGTTTCCTCTGAGAATGTCTAAATTATTTATAGCACTTATAAATTGTGTAGAAACATTGGCTTATATCGATTCCGTTTTAGTTACCATTCAATTTGAAACTGCTGGCACACTGTCCAGACCTCAGAGTTGTAGGCATTAAAAGCAGGAGTGTAACTTCAATCTCTGTGGTTCTTTGTGAAGTTGTACATTTCGGGCACATTTCTGTGTAAATGCAAAGCAGTCAAGGGGCTGTGATCAAAGTTAGTGTGTGGAGGTGTCATAAATGGCCGTTTAAACAACTTCTCTAATCCCTCTCTAAACTTCCTAAAACACCGGACAGCATTTTTAAAAACGCAGCCTCTGAAACCTTGATGCATAATGTCCGCGTATTTCACCGTGCTGCACGTCATGTAGTGTACGGAGGGGAGTGGGGCCATAGGGGCGATAAATGCTTCTACTTTAAGAAATCTCTTTGCCTTTTACTCCAGTGCACAGGTTACAGAGTTAAATTGTTCATAACCACATTGTTCAAACTGAACGAGGGACAAATTGGGTGGAAATGTTGGCTTTCTCAGACACACAGGTCCTCGCTATAACTGTGTGAATCTAACGGCAGTTTCTTCCCGTTCGGTTTAATCGGCTTGGCCGCGCGCCATTTCCGACTGTGACGTAACGGTGCGTGTTGGTGCTCCTCCGAGCGCGCGGGGCGATTCTTCCTCTTAAAGCTTCTTTCCCTCGCTCGCTCGCTCCCTGACTCTCAGAGCTTACAACCTCTACAAACCTGCAGAGAAAAGAGCAGCTAAGGCCGCCAGCGCCGAGGTACGTAACCTGTGCAGAGTGACACTCAAACGTACGTTTCCTCGTCTTTTAGTTTCCTCCCCGTGGGCTAAACAAAGCGAAAGCAAACGTTTAAATGCTAAATTCATGATAAAGAGAATTGATGACAGTCACAAATGCCGCCTTTGAACGTTTAGAGATGATGAGTGCCTTTAAGTGTCTAATGTATCTGCCCTAAGATCTTCGGTTAACAGCCGTATATTTCTGTGTCGACTTGCGCTGGGGATTCCCCGCGTTTTGCGCACAGTGAAATTGGCCACACACTCGATGTTCTGTCCTTCTCTATCTTTTTTAGTGTTGCTCTTACGGTGCTTCGGTTTCTCCGTAGTCACAATAAAGAGACATGAAAATAATGAGGCTGCAGCAAAAAAGGTCTTAATATTTGCCGTCAGTTCCTATCAACACAGGGGAGGCTGCTCTTCCACATTCAAATTTCTTTCGTTGCTAATTATTACACGAGGCAATAATTAATAGACACTGCGTTACTTTTTCTATTACGAGTTGATGCCTTTTTGCTGTCTTGATGACAACTATTGCATATGTCTAATTTTGTTTAGTAGGGTGGCACTGCGTGAATTGTAAAGGAACACTTTAAGTACATGGCTGCGTTAGTTATGGCTGCTTGTCCAGTCTTTCTAGTGTGAGAGAGCTTGGAGTGGCATGGCTGCGGAGGAGAATGAATGTCCAAAGTTCCAGTTGTCCCAGCAGGGTTCTGACCATGTGAGGTCCTGGGAGCTGGAGTCCGTCCTGGCAGGCCGCAAGCTTAGCTTCGTAGCCAGGCTGGATGACCAGTACGTGTGTCCGGCCTGTGGTGGTGTCATCCTTAATCCACACCAGACAGGCTGCGGCCATATCTTCTGTGCCAAGTGCATCAGAATATTCATGTAAGGACACAGCAAATACTTGAACAGGGAAATTTCCCACATTACGAGAATCAGCATAGATGCAAGTAAAGTCAGATACATGTAGATATTCTCCCACCCATTCAGGGATCTTTGAAAAACGTAATGCCTCATCCAGTCTGTTTTGGGGAGGTGCAAATGCAACATACAACAACACTGCCTGTCTTTTTTTCAGTGAGAATGGTGACACTTCAAAATGCCCCTTTGATGACATTTTGATCAAACCAGAGGAGGTAAGAAAAAAAACTACACTATAACTCTGGGTTACTCATGTGACCAAAGGGTTTGAAAGATTCTGTTGCCTGCAGGTTTTTCAAGACAACTGCTGTAAAAGAGAAGTACTAAATCTCGAGGTTTACTGTACCAACTCTCCGGCCTGCACACAAAAGGTGACACTGTGTAATTTGCAGGTAAGACCCAAACACTCACAACAGAATCACTGAAGCTGAAACCATGCCTATACAAAGTGATACTAAGAAAACTCCTGCACTCTTCCGCTGTACAGACCTGAGTAATAGTCTCCATTTCTCTCTTTCTTGCTCTCACTCTCTTTATTAGGACCACCTAAAGGCCTGTCAGTATGAAGCCCTGCAGTGTTCCAACCCAGGCTGCACTGACATCCTGTTACGCAAAAACTTGACAGATCATCAAAGAAGCCTGTGCCCTTTTCGCACAGAATTCTGTCGCTATTGCAAGAAACCTTACCCTGTTACCCAGCTGCCGGTCAGAGGCTTTTTCCATTTTAACTTCAGATGTAAGATTTATCTCAGTTATAAATCAGCTAACATTCTCCAATGAACCATTACAGGACCATGAAAAGACCTCATGCCCAGAGGCTGAAGTTCAGTGTCCCAATAAATGCTCTCATATGGTTAAAAGGCATAAGGTGAAACATGATTACATTTTTAATTAAGGTTTTCCATTCAATTCTGTCCCGTCTCCTTACTGTCTTCTTCCTGTTCAGATACAACACAATTTAATTTGCCTGTTCAGTATTTCTATATTCTTGACGGCTCTGTCTTTCTCTAATGCACCCCTGTCTTTCTTACCTACCATTTGCAACCTGCAGCTCAAAGACCATGCAGATGAGTGTCCAGAGGTGGAAACAGACTGCATTTATAAGAAGTATGGCTGCACAGTCAGAGTAAGTGCACTATATACCAAGTGTCCTGGCATTATAAGACAAGCAGCTGTAGCTGAACTGGACTGACAGGGAGAGGCCAGCAGCCTCAGTTAATTCAGTGTAAAAGTGCATTGTGACATTATCCACAATAAAAGTACTAATTCAATCCAATTGTGATGATATCAAAATGCCTTTTGTCTGTTTTAGGATAAAAGAGGCCAAGTGAAAGTCCATGAGTACACAGAATTCAGTCACCATGTGCTCCTTGTATTGGACAGCAATAGCAAGCTAATGGAACAGGTGCAAATTCTCATAATACTAAATAATAAAACTCATAATAACACAGTATGTGTTATTAACACAGTAAACTTACTACACACCCTGAAAGCCCCAGTAAGCTCTAGAAGGTTTACAGTCAGCCAGCCAGTTTTCTTGATGGTTTTTTTTTGTGTGTATCTCAACATCAGGTGGATCAGCTACAGCAGGACTTGGCTGTCCAACAGGGGGAGCTGAAGGAGAGGAACCTGCTGGTCAGCAGCCTTAACAGAGAGGTCTCCAAGTGTGATAGCACCCTTTCTGCCATACAGGTAAAGGGAGTTATTGCAAAGGGTCTGGAGCTTATGTAATAAATGTAATGTCCATATATAATTTTTCTGTCAATTTATTGTTGTTATTATGCTTTTTCCAGTATTTATGTCAATTTAGAAAGACTAATCATGATGTGGAAAATCCATTGTAATATACACATCCATCCTTATGTCATATATCTATAAATGTAAATATCTTTATTAAATATATAATATTAGTAAATAAATATATCTAAATAGATGATATTGGAGCTTCTCTAGTTCTGTAAAACCTTATGATGTGAATTCTTTGTAGTGCAATATAACTACACTAAGGAGATAATCCCAGCAGGGCTAAAACAAAACAGTTTAGATAGACAGAGAGTTGTAGAGGGATAGATCTACAGGGACAATTCCAGAGAGTTCACAGCAGTGGCTGAACTGGTAAATTTGAACATGTCAAATGTGTACAAAATCCAACTTTAAGCATTAGGTAAAATATGTTTTAAGCGTTAGGTAAAACATTATGACACAAATATTTCACTGTCTATAAAGAGGTCTAATGAAAACTAAGAGCTAATCAACAGAAACCGACAAATCTTCTCTTCCCACATTGCAGCATTTGTATTATTTAACCATTAGAAATTGCGGCTATCAGTACCACTTTTGAGTTTATGGTAGCAGAAGTAGAAGAAGTAATTTATTAGACAGTGGATCTTTTATGATGATTTGTGCATGATCCTGTACATATTTGCTGCTTTCCTGTCATTGCTTGACAGTGTGCAGGCTTCAATACAGAATGTTAATGTAATGTCAGTGTAATTGATTGCATAACATGCTATGTAATTACATGCATGATTATATAATTTGAATTATAGTTTGAATAATCTAGTAAAAAAGAAAGTAATTCTTATATTGGCTGAAATTATAAATTGTTGGATTTTGAAAATTAGTAAAAAGTAAAAGATAAACTATTAAACTAAATTAGTAATGACTAAAGTTATGTCAAGTCTGTGAAATTGGCCCAGGTCTTTGCTAGAAGCATATGTGGCCCTGAAGCTGCTATTGTGTGCAGTAGGGTTACAAGCATGTCAAGTCATGGAGGGACATCCGTGCTAAAGAGAGACCTTAGCTGAGGCTTAGAATGTTTGTATTGTAGAGGTCAGTGGAGGAGCAGAGAGAGCATGTGTCCAGTGTGAAGCGCGAGCTGCAGGACCTGCGGGGCGTTTTGGAGGCGGAGTTGGCTAAAGAGGAGCTGGCTGCTCTCCGTGCTTCACTGGACTCCCTCAGACAGCAGGTGGCAATGACACAGAGCCTCAGAGAACATCTGGGTAAGGGTGTTTGAACACACAATCAGCTTTTTGCCCTTACAATCCAGTGGGTCATATGTTTTTCTCCAAAATGGTATGTGCTAGTTGGGAGCAGCTGGACACATTAAATCTTATTCACACTTCTGAGAGATCACTCATAGTATTGTATGATGTTTAGTTTAGGGCTGTCACAAGAATTCACTTAAACTTGATTACTTAAATTTAAAAAAAAACATCATTTAAAATCTGTAACATGTTCAAAACATGTGGCAAATAATCGCATATAAATAAGGGTGTGTCTTATCAGGCTTTCTTGGTACTGTAAAAGAGACCAATAAGGAATTTATGCATTATGCAACTAATCTCAGAAAATTCACAGAGAAGATCGATTTTAATTGAAGTCTTTTTGTCTTCTTTTTGCAGTAAAATATTTTGGAATCTTTGATAGGTGTAGCATAGTTTCTCATTGCTCAGTTGGGTCCATTTTATTGTGTGGCCTTTTTTAAAATACTGATTATTCAACTACATATTTGGCAGATTATTTAATGACTATTATAATCTATAATGGGTGACAGCATTAGTTCAGTTGTGTTTGGTTATGTTCACTTTGGTATGTACATTCAAACTGGTCTGATTCTGATGTCCTGTGATGTCCAGTAGGGCAGGATATATTGCAGACAGAGCTTTTTGGCCATTGAACTTTATAAACAGTGCTCTTTGTGAGTGTATTTGTGTTTGTGTGTGTCACTGTGCAGGTGCCTTAGGGCAGACTTGTCAGCGTCACACTCGTCTGCTGGACATCCATGTGGAGCAGCTGCAGTGCAATGAGCAGCGTTTTCGCCAGCTGGAGTCCACTTCATACGATGGAAAGCTCATCTGGAAAGTGCATGACTATCACCGCAAGAAAGAAGCTGGCACACCCCTCAACTCCCCACCCTTCTACACCAGCCGCAGTGGATACAAGCTGAGTGCACGCGTGTATCCTGGTGGGGAGGGCGCTGCCCGGGGCACTCACCTGTCCCTGTATGTGATGCTGATGAGGGGAGACTTCGACTCACTGCTGCCGTGGCCCTTTCGCCAAAATGTCACTTTGACCGTGCTGGACCAGAGTGGCTCCCGTAACCACATCAACTGCAGCTTCACACCAGACACTGCCAGTGAGAGCTTCCGCCGTCCCACATCTGAAAATAACTCAGCTTTAGGCTTTCCCCGCTTCATCTCCCATGGTGAGCTGGAGGCTCCCCGGAATGCGGTTTATATAAGAGACGACACACTGTTTATCAAAGTCAAGGTGGACACAACAGGGTTGGAGGATTTGTAGTGTGTTCTGGGTGGAATGTTCAAAGGCCTTTGGAAAATTGGAGTTTATAGAGAGTAGGTCAGTCACAAACCTAAGTTATTTTTATACATAATTTACCAATTGACCATTTGTGACAAGTCCCACCTTTCTTAGTTATTGTAGCTATGTCTGTCAGACTTTCAGCTCAGGTTTTCTGGTAGCATCCCTAACAGACCTACAAGTTCAGCAGCACAAAGGCAAGTTTTGAAGCACACAGAGGAGTACATTTGAAAACGTTTTCATTCAAAAATAAAGTATCTTAAAAAATTAGCAGACATACATATTTGAGAACTGACAAAATAGCATGTAGGCCAATTTAAAGTAAACAAAAAGGATTCTGGAAACCCAGTTTACACTCATCAAATCAGGGAAATTGATTAGTCACTCAAAGTTAAAGCAGGTTTTAATGTTTAATAAGCAGGTTTTAGTAATGGAAGCTACCCCTACAGATGAGCTAACACCAAATCTAATGCTGGAGGTAGTCATAACAAGAATAGATGCTAAGGAGCTAGTTGGTGCTGAAGGGGGCTCATTGTTTGTTGCTAGTTTTGACAATGAGCTGTGAGTGTGGTCTTCCACATAGTTTAGGCTAAGAAGCATGTCTTTCATTATTTTGCAGATGGTCAATTGTGAGGATCCAGATGAGCAATGTTTACTAGTTGGGACACTGTAGCAAAAAGTGTATTAATTGAGTCTTTGTATTTTTATTTTATTCATGGTAAAATTTTATAAGTGCTTTTCCTAATAAAGAGCTGGTGCATCTTCTACAGTGTGTATCTGGTGTACGCAGTGGTGATATATAGTGTTCTGTATTTGTGAAAATGAGAAGGTGCAACTCTAGAAACCTGTGAATCCAGTCGTTCACTACACACACATATACACCTGTGAGATGACTCAGCTGTTCCACTTTCGTCTGAAAGACACAGCCATGAGCTTCTAACACAGGCTTCTGAAATGCAGAATACTCTGTTCCCAAAAAAGTTTGAACAGATTTTCTGGCTAAAGACAAGGGGTCAATACAAATACATAAAAGTAGAAATTTACAGATGTGAGCAGCGCTTGTCATTTTCTTCAAGACCACCTCCAAGCAGATTCAGGAAGTTTGTCCCAGCCAAATATTTAACGAGACAAATTGCCTTTACCCTTCCAAAATGACCCTTCCTAATTTTGTCCAGATTAGAAATAAAATATGACGCAGATGTCAAAAATAGGTGCATTATTACAGCCAAGAAACACGACACTAGTATGGCCATGGATTTGTACAAATGAGGGGGGCCTAGGGATAATAAGTGCTCAGATAACAAGACCCCCAGGCTATTCATAGATCTTTTGTTCACATTAAGGCCAGCTGTCACGCGCCACCGTGTTTTGTTCCATGCATAGTGCTCTCCAGACACCTAGCCTCAAACGCTCTAGCAAAACAGAGGATGTGGAAAAGAAACAAAGTTTGGCTGATCAAACGTAAGTGTCCCTTGCATGTCTCCTTCATTCTTTATAGGGTCAAAGCTACTAAGAGTGTTGTACATATATTTTTTATTAGAACTGTAGCACAACAGCAAGTAATTGCACAGTGACACAATTTTTGTTGCTTTGGCTCTGTATTGCAGCGCACTGGATTCAACGTAAAATGTCTGTCAGGTTAAATTTATGAATGTTGGATATTTACAGCTACACCTGACCACACAAAAATCATAGCCCTTTTAATATGTAGTTCCCTTATTATTAACACAGGGACTATAAGTAACGGGACTGTTGAATACTCATTAGCAGCAGGAGTCTGTCTCTAAACCAAAGACAAAAGAAATGTCAGTGTCAAGCAGGCTATCATGAGAATCGGAATTAGCCAACATGAACTGCTTGATACATTGTTGAGAAGCAGGAATTGATACATTGTTGAGAAGCAGGAATTGTGGGCTTAGTGATAACAAATAAACTGGAAGACCAAATGCTGTTAAAAGCATGAAGAACAATATCCAGGATGAAGGCTTAGATGTATCAAAAGCTACCTTAAGGAGATGAATACATCAGTGTGACCTCTGCTAAAAAGTATTGTACTAGCTAAGGAGCTGAAATGTAGCAGAGCTGGTGTTGCATATCACTGGAATAATGCATAGCAGTTCTTGCTAACATCAGTCTTTTTTTCAGCTCCTGCAGAGCACCCTTTGGAGGCAAAGTACAGGCCTTTGCTTGAGGTATTCCCCTTCTATGAAAATACCAAACACATTTACATTTTGAAACAAGAGGAAAGTCCCTTTCTGTGAACAAGATTTAAAAAAGCAAAGCAGTAGCAGGCAGTAGCATTGTTCTGGTCATAATAATATTGACTGGATTACCACCTCCCCTCACCTTGCAATTCCTTGGCACATTAAGAAAACAGTAGGGTTAACAATAGGGCAGGATGCAAAGCACTTTGTAACATTAGTTAAAGCACTCAATCTTGGCAAGCAGGAAGAGGGCCATGGCACCTGGACTATGTTGTGATATTTACAGTGTGACCTCTTGTCTTTCTGTCTTATAACTGCACTCTGTTCATCTCAGAGTTTGGTCCCACCGGACCCCATGTCTAAGCTTAAGCTAAAAAGAGGCTCCCCCAAAGAGGAGTTCCCCAGTGTGGACGGCAATTACACCTGTATGGCTCGTGTCCTAGACCTGCACATGTATACTCGGCAGTTCAATCGTGCGACTGAGAGTGGGGTCATCTTTGATGACATCATTCGTCCGGGCCTGGAGGACCCAGGTGAGGTGCCTGTTTTTATTAAGGTCACTGTTCAACAATCTCACTGAGAGTTCTACTTAGTGGGCCGATTTTAAAAAATGGTTTAAATTGATTGCATGAGCAAATTTAATGTCTCAATAAATATCTGGACAGTAAGTGTGTCCACCAAACACTAGCTATCTTAATTTTAGGAGTTAATTTCACATCAACACAAGCAAAATAGCAGGTGTATGCTAATGTATTTATTCATAAAATCAATCCCAAACTGTGTAGTATTGTAACCAAACCAAAGGTAATACATAAACTTTCTAAATGGTATGGCAGTGCTGGTTTCTTGCTCAAAACCACTTCACTGGTTGACATATTTTACAATGCACACTGGCATTTGAAGGCGTCGGAAACATCACACTTGCAGTTCTGCAAAACTTCAAAAGACACATGGTGTGGAAGGATGACTCATAACTACCTCAGCACAATTATGCCTATTGTCATACACTTTCTTTTTACCATGTTATTATTCAAGGATATGTTCTCAGTTGTTTTTTTCATGTGAAAAGAATTGACAGAAATCAAGCTGATCAAACAAACAAGCAAAGTAGGAACAATATAAAATACTTAAATAACAGAATACTAAAGCACTTCCAAATCTACACAGACATCACTCTCAACATCAACTAGAGCATTTGTATGTTCTTACTTCCTGCCCTGAAGTTCATCTGACACTGCATTGTAAGAAGGCAGACAGATGTGAATGAGAGTGATCACTAAACATTTTACTTTGTGCTATAACTTCCCTTCTGAGACATTCTCAGTTCATTCATGAAACCAAGGGCCATATTTCAGAAACATCTTAACTCTGAAATCTTATCTGTTTAGTCAAAATGTCAACCTCAGTTTAGGACAACAGTTATTACAGTACAACATTTCTTAAACGTATTACCATATCCTAACTCCAGATAAGAAAACAGTATAACATAAGCATACTAACTAGACTACACTTCCTAAATACTGTCCTAACTTTAAGGCAACCCCTAACTTTTGTTTTAACCTTTTTTTCTCAATTGTTTTTAGCAACTGTTACAGGCAACATAGTTCACTACTAGCATAATGACAATCTATTTACTTATGCTGCAAAACGGTGGTTTGACTTTTGAGATGTTTTTCTTTTCTAAGTCTGCATTTTAAAAATCACAGGCACTTCGGATATGATCTCCACCACTCCTCTTATTGCCTTCATGTGTTAACGTTGATGAAAACTCATCAAATACATTACAAAATGTATGAAAATGGTAATTTTTAAAGAAATGCATTTTGGATTATATCTCACATGTAAAAAGTGCGTTTATCCATGTGGCATAGGAACACGTACAGGACCCACGACAGTAGGCTGTTTAGCTGGGGATGCCCAGTCCTACATTCTCTTCTGTGATTTTTTTGACCGCGTTATTGAAACCTACCACAGCTACAAGGTGTCGAGTGATGTTATGCAAGAGAGTGACTTCAATTATGACAACGTGAAGGTGAGTGCTAGTTTTAATTTAAAGATATCCACATGTAATTAATGTTAATGCTGTGTTCCAGTGGTATAGGATACTGGGAAATACCAATTTTCCCATTTGTAAATTGCGCTCGAATGACTGACAAAGTCGTATTCACAACTAGTAAACATGGGATTCTGTGTTCGGGTGCTCATGCGAAGGTTGTATACACCATTTTGTAAACTAGTAAATATGACTTCACTCCTGAAACAGGTTTCACCCTGTGCGCATTGCCACCATTCACTTACTTTACCCTGTCCTCACTCATTTTTACTTTGCCACACTCAGGGGCTTGTTCACAGGTATGCCCACCACACAGAAAAAAGAAAGCAATTTACAAATTGGAAAACTGGTATTTCCCAGTTCCAGACACCACTTGACAGCAGCAAGATGTGATGTATAGACCACTGTAGTCCGCGTTATGCCCATATTAGGAACTCCAGGTCTACGCTCGATTTCTCTATGGCCAGAATGAATGGGGTTTTCGCAAAAATCACCTCTATCGCACCCTGTATTAAATAAAAATGTTCAGAATCTGATACATTTTTGTTGTGTACGTTTCTCTCCCGAATATCACTAGATCTTCCGAATTACAAGGTCGTTAAAGAGACTTAATACTAATATTGCTACATGCAAGCTAATGTGCATCAATTTGATGTCACTAAGCTACTCGAAAGTAAAGCAGGTTATGACGGTGTTCTAATGAGTTGTGCTACCTTATTGAAATGTTCTACTGTATTTCTACAGGCATTTCTATAGGTATGCCCGTAAATAAAACCTCTAGGTTGGCTATTTCAATATGCTAAAACTCCTTATCAAAAAATACTACCAGTGTTAAAACTACGAGGCTGAATTTAGCTTCTTTTTCAGGCTAAAAGATAGTTAACAAACTAAACAACTTTATCATTAATATCACAGGCATGAAAAGTACTTATGATATGATTCACTGTTAAACTGCAATGTAGGTGTCTAAAGAATGTCACTTGAATGGCTTACACGCTTTAAATATTTGTGATTGTCATATTTGCCTTAAGTGGCATTAAATCCAGGCGGAATCTCAAATGGCTCTGTACTCCCTAAATGTAGTGTGCTATGTAATTTTTGGAATTCTACCTTCTGCAGCCAAATACCGACTATTTGTCGAGTATGGATTAAGCACTGTTGTGGTGCAGGAACCAGTATTTAAATTCCTTTAAATTTAAGTAGTGCACTGTGAAGGGAGCTGGGAGTTATTTGAGATTCAGTCCCAGTGTGGTAAGAGGGGCACCGTTTAATTGGTGCTATTTAATCTGTTAAAATTAGCTTGTTTCACAATGCGCTGCACTACAATCCCCAGCATGCACTGCAACTCCCCCAACAACCTATGGGAAATAAGTTACACCACAAAAAGAAAAGATATGGTTCAAGCAAATAGGCCAATAAGATAGCTTATATTTTGCTCTTGTAGTTTTTGCATATTTTGAATAAACAATTGGCAGAATAAACCTTAATGAATAAAAAATCTTAGCGGAATATTTGTTTACATCGATTGTTATTAATAATAAACTATTTTCTGAAAAATTGTGTTTTATCATATTTTATGTCGGCCGCCGTTTTATAAAAGCAATAAGCCCCTCGAGATTCAGTAATTCATGAGTGCATGTGTGTGTGTGTAGGGAGGTGATGACTTTGACCCAGCTTATGCAGAAAGTTGTGAGGTGAGTGTTGCTCGCTGTGTGGAGGACTACTGCTTCCCCACGCACTGCAGCCGAGGGGAGAGGAGACAGCTCCTCACACTGGCCAAGAAAGGTACTGCATTAATCTCACTCACACTTCTGATGTTAACTGAAGGGGCTACTCTATGGAAATCACTTTTAGCGTTTAAAGGGGAACTCCACCGATTTTGCAAAATTACTTACTCATTCAATGGTTTAAATGTTAACAAAACAATTCAGAGTGGTTTGGTGTGAAATGCGCCTTTCCAGAGAAATTTACCGAGTCAGAATTGTCCACCATTATAGTTCTAGGAACCAGACGTCCGTTTTACTCCAGGATTACTTCCGTGTTTCCTGTCAAAAACTCCAAAATGATGGGTTAAGACGGAGAATTTGAGCAAAATCATAGTTTATAAATGTTTAAACATTTTTAATGTAAAGGAATACATTCATTTCCTGAACACTGAATAGCATAAACCATTTTAACACTTGTTATATTTTAAGAGCTTTTGAACTCGAGTTATGTACAATAGGAGTTTAAAACAGCGCCATGACGTCAGTGAGCGCTGTTTTAGAGTCCGCTCGCCAACCAATCAGCACTCAGTGGCAGTAATGCCCGCCTTCTGTTGCCCAAAACCCGTTTGCTGTAGAAAAAAAGGAAATGTATAGGTACGATTTCTTTGTTTTAGTGAAATACATCCTTCTACTTTCTAAAATGAAAGGAAAGTTCTGGGCGAGTGATTAGAAACTATTTTAACTTTTCGTTTTTAGCCGTTGAGCGCCATTTACTCCTTTTCATTGAGGACTCGCTTGCGGGCGCCTTCTGGCGTTTTGCAGTCCTGTTTTTGACATAACGAGAGAAATAGGAAGTGGCCAGGCTCCTCATAAACCGGCTCTGTTCTCAACTGAGATCTATGCGCGCAAGCTAACACGCTTTTGTTGTTAGGCGCCTGTAGCTACAGCGGTTCAACTAACGTCAGCAGCAGCTTTTGTTTACAGTTTATTTTTACAAATTTCTTACCTATTTTTGGAAGATGGCAGAGTATGTGAAAGACTTCAAGGAGGTCTATTTCCAAAATGTCGTAGATCCATATCAATTTGAACCAGAATACACAAAAGAGTTGCAGCGGTTTAAAGGAGAGAGAGACTGAACCTGCCGGCGCCGACGCAGAACAACCCAGAGCGAATGGAAATAGGTGGTGCCAACAACAAACTACTTGCTACTCCGCTTACCAGTTTATTAGGTAGATAGTTATTTAATTGCTTGAGCCACTTTAGACAGTCTTATGTAAGACAACGGCGAACAGTCGGCGCGTTTAAATGCACTCAATAATCCGATCATAATCGGTTTAGCAATCGGATTTCTCAGCGCACGTATACGCTTCGGATTTCTTGTAGTTTTCTCAGTCTGCGCATGTGCGAAAACAGATCGGAAATAAGCAAGAAGCGTTGCAGCGAGATGGTAGAAAAACACCTTTGGAGTGACACTGAAACCACTAACATGTTTGAGGAAATGAGGGATTTAAGTAACTAAATAATAATTATAGTAATTATCTTTAAATAAGAGTAAAGTGTTTTGTTTTTACATGTACACAAAACGATTTTATTTTTCACTAGTAAGTGTTCAACTTGTACGGAGCCCCTAAGGGGCCGAAGTTAAAAAAAAAAAGTTAGTTAATGACATTGCATTCCCTCGCAAATGTTTTGCATTACGATGCATTCACTTGCAAAAGCTGTGCTCTGCTTAAGTTCAGACACGGAGCAGCTAATTGAATTTTATGTTGATCTTGGATTGAAATTTAAAGAAGTGTCGCTTCTCAAAATCAAACATGATTATGCTATTAGTGAGCGCAAACTGAAACTGAGATCGAGTGTCCTCGTACAGTAAAAGCAGAGACTGCAGAGAACAATTGCTGAATAAACTCAGCATAGACTGGCGAAACTGGGAAAACAGTTTTTGACGTTACATATGCTAAAAACAAAGCTCTAATGTAACGTTAGGCAACGTCTTTGGGCACCTCTGGTCCTACGTTTGCTTGCTGTCTGACGAGCATATATTTTGCGAGAGAACGCATTTTATTTGCGAGGGAATGCAATGTCATTAACTTTTTTTTTTTTAACCACGGCCCCTTAGGGGCTCCGTAAACTTGAACATTTAATAACTGGATTTCAACGTGGCCAAATAAAAATTTTACTGGTGAAAGTAGAAAATTGAACTCACACTAGTGAAAATTCTGTTAAAATTAATTGGGAATAGCCATGAGTTCTTACTAGTGAGAACTGAATTCTTACATCCTACAATATATTAATAGAACTTGCTTGATTTCTCTTAGTATGACATTTATCTGTTCAAACTGAATATCAAAAAGTTCTGGATTTAAACTGAAACGGTTTGCCATAGAATTAGCATACAACTGAAATCATAACACATTTACAGCACATGACAAGTTATTGGATGGGAAGCTTTGTTTACAGTAATGATTTTGCAATGATTGGTTTTGCAGTTCTGGACCAATTTAGTGAAGAGTTTCCAGGAAAGCTTTACTCTATAGATGATCTCAACCAAGAGACGAAGGATAAAGGGATCATTATGGATGGCCCACCTGCCTCCTTAATAAAGACTGGTGTGGGTCGCGACTGGCCTGATGCACGGGCCTTGTGGTAAAACTGAAGATGCTCAGGAAATGTAATGGAACATTAACGTCAAACTCTAATCCTGGAGGTCAACTACACTTGAAAGTTTAGTGCTCTACAATGTACAGATCAGCTCATAAAGAGGTTGGTGTTTAGCTGATGAGCTGAAAGACATGCTAAATCAACAAAATAATGAACTGAGCAGTGCTGTGATCCTGCAGGACTAAAGTCTGGCACCTGTTCTAGAGGTTTTCACTGAATATTGACTTTACCTGGGTAGCTCTTTAATGACTCGATAGATTTATTAATAAAGTTGTGCAGTACTTTGCTGGGTTGCTGGACTTTTTGTCTTATAGGGTGAGTGAGGATGGGACCTTGGCAGTTTGGGTTAACATGGAGGACCATCTTAGACTGGTGTCTTCCAGAAATGATGCCAATATCCAGGAGGCATTTGCAACCATCTGCATAAGTTTACTAAAGGTCAGGCTCATTTAAGAACACCTCCAATCTAATACTGTTGCATCATGCTAACATACTGGGGACCTTGATTTTGGTCGCCCACCAGTTCTTGATTGGCACTGATGAAACATATAATTTCCCTACAGATGGAAGCACTGTACAAGAAGCTGAGGCATCCATTCATCTGGAAACCTCATCTGGGCTGGGTGGTGAGCTCACCCGCAGAGGTGGGGACCGGGCTAAAGGCAAGCGTTACAATCAAGGTGGTTCATCTATTCACACACAAACGCCTGGACAACATCCTGGACAGACTGCGGCTTCGCATAGAGACGGCTCGTATGTAATAATGAGCTCCAGTACTACTGCAGAGTTATTTGTTAAAAAAATGGTTTGCTAAATGGAAATGAAAACAACAAAAACGAAGATTGTATCTGCCAACAGATGCTATGGCCTCTTCACACTAGCGTTCTCTCACCCTGGTCCTAGAGTACCCTTACTCTAACAAATTCATGAAGGGTTTGTTAATTAGCTGATAAGCTCAGTCAGTGTTGGGAGCAGGGAGAACATTTAAATGTGAAGTGTAGGTCATTCCAAGACCAGGGGTCAGAGAATGCTGCCATAAGACAAAATACTGCTACTGGAAAATCTAAACAGTACAAGTTGGTGAAACTCTTTGTATGTCCTCTTTATGCAGACTTGCCTGGAATGTACAAAATATGCAACCGACAAACCATCGGACTCACGGAAGTTGAGCTTACCCAGTTAGTAGTGGATGGGGTCAAGCTTCTTATCAGAATGGAGAAGAGACTGGAGAACAATGAGGGCATTGATGACTTGGTGCCTGCGCAGAAGTAGAGTGGCCACAACGGAAGAGCCAAGAAGTGGACAATCATCAGTTTGTGCTTAATTCTGAGACCAAATCTGGCCAAAAAACATTCACATGCAAAGAATAAGGCTCAGATGTCAAAACTGAACATTGTTAATGTTTCATTCAAGGCCACAATCAGCTTGTTTTGTATAACATTGATGCCATTTTGAGAAACCTTTCAGCAAAGCCTAACTGAATAATATTGGAGTGGTTTGCCAAGCTTCTCGGTCTTGTAACATGTAACTTGTAATCACAAGCATATGTGCATTTGTGAGATCCTCTGGTGTGGCTTTCTTCTCTTTCAGAGATGCTTACAAAAGCGACTCGTGCTAATAGCTTCCCATGTTTTAGAATCTTTAGACTGGGAAATACAAGTCACTTGGCTTTTAAAAGCATTCTGAGAATCAATTCTTAGAAGTTCAAGCATTTTCTATGTTTACAGGTGCAAGCAAAAAAAAATAAATAAAAATAACAGCTAAGAGATGAATTACAGAATGATCAAAGTATACAGTCTACTGACCCTAAACTATTTTATGTGTTTGCCTAAATTCATCAGAACACGTCCACACATTTCGGTTATAAACAGTGTTTAAAAAAAACAATAAAAAAAGCACAACATTTTGGCTCAAAAACTCCTTTCAAGTAAGCTTTAATGTGCACCAGTGAGACTAAATCTCGATCATCCATCAGACTTTTCTGAGAAATGTACAGTACTATGTTGAGAAAAGGTTTATAGGGGCAAGAGGGGTGAAATGACTGGATAAGAGTTGTTGGGCATAGGAAGGTTATTTGCATTTTAAGTAAAATTCTTCTGCCTTTTTCACACCACTCAAGCAGTTCCATCACTAAGGCAGCATAATCAAGCATCTGCTCAGGAAATGTACCGCTACAATATGGGACACGCTTCCAAGTGTCTAATCACAGCTTAAACCGCTTCAAAATTCTTTAAAACCACTCATTTTTTATGAGGAAACTAAAAATATGTCCACCATAACTTTCCCTTGTAAAGTGTGCAGTCGGGGACCTTTTTTCTTTCAGTATTACAGTAATACAACATGAAAAGCATTGCACATTGAACCCTCATTACCTCAGTACAAAAGAATAAGTAGAAACGCTCCAGCACAAGTGGTCTTACATGTCGTCGTCATCATTTTCACCATCACTCATTACAAAATGAACAAAATTAAGGTACATTTTCAGAAACAAAAGTTACATCCTACTTCCTTCACATATGCATGACATTCTGAGGAAGATAAAGCAGCACATTAAAGGCATAAAATGGTGAAATAAATAAACACAGTCTGCGGAGAGTACAAGATGAAATCAGGTCAAAATTGTCAAATTAACTGCTGGGATAAAGATCTTAAAGGTTCTTTTGCCAAACCTTGGTCCATTCCTTTTCTCAATTCAGCTATGTCTACTACAGTATATAGTGTTATCCTCAACTTCAAATGTCATAATATAACCCTTTTTAGCATAGACTGAATAAAAGAGTAAGTGCCACACTTGCTAACTAACATCACAATTCAGTGATGTGTCTTTTCTTGGTGGAAAGAAAGAAAAAGAAGTTAGTTGTGAGCTAAATTGATTTGCCTTTGGAATGTGCACAGCTTGTTTAATGAAACACTGTTATTCAGTAACCTGCCAATGTTACGAATGGGTCTACATCCTGCTGGAAAGTAAAAAAAAAAAATAAAATAAAAAAAGTATCTGAGAATAAAAAAAAATTCATTAAAATGTCACATGGTGAAGTCAAAAAATCTAAAACCGTACAAGGAGAGCAAAAAGCTAAACAAAAACATTACAGTAAGACACATTTCTGTACAGAAATCAAGACTATACAATACCTTCACATACTTAGGCTGAAAGAGTCTTGTATTATACAACTCTATGAACAATTCAACAAAACATTCTGTATCTTAACTGTACATGTGGAAAAAGTAGCGTCTAAAGTCTCTGTATTACCCTACAAAGGTAATTCTGCCAAAGAAACTCCAATCTGCTGATCCTGAAAGGGTTTTTCATATTATTGCAAAGATGGTTATCCTAACCTTGTGTATATGCAGAACTTGAGAGCAGGGTCAGACTGGATACGAGGGAGGGTTACCTTTTTAAATCTTTTTTTTTCCACTGGCCAAACAATACAGCAGTAGCCTCAGAAAGCATAAACTCAAAATGGCGCCCAACCGCATAGCGAATGTAGAGACCACCGTAGCACATCGATCTGGGTCATTTTGCACAGTTCTCAGTGCATTCACTCCCTTTTTTATTTTTAAAGCTCAATCACAGCTTCAGCTCGTTGGCGACTTTGGACGCAATGTTCTTGAAGGCGATGGAGGTGCCCGAGATACGCTTGAAACGCACGCCATTGAGAGAGAGACGGGGCAACTTGCATACTTCCATCTCCCACTGGACGAGGCTGTCCTGGCGGGCATCACCATGCACGCAGAAGAGCAGGAAGCGCTCGCGCTGCTCGTAGTCGCAGTTGTTGGCGTCCAGCACCTTACGGATCTCCCGCATCATGTCTCCAGGCTCCATGGCCGACGTGGTCTTCATGCTCCACGTGAAGCGCAGTGATCGTGGCTTGGACTCCCGGCTTTCCTCTTTAGGGTCCCCGGAGCCGCTCCTGATGACAAATAAAACACCCATCACTATATTAGCCTTCATTACAATCAGGAAATCAATCCAACTATTCCCTTTCCCAGAAAGAACACAGCTGATTTGTTCCAAAAAATGGATGAATATGGATATCCATATTATTTTGCAAATGTTAGTTCTTCAAAGCATTGGCATGTTTGGAACATGAGACTATGGTAAACAGCTGCTTTCCTGCAGACACAACATGCAAAAATGCCACAACACGTAAGAAGACCAACAAACTTAAATACATAATTTCACTGCAATGACAGGAGACAAAAATAGCCTTGCTTCACTAAAGTTCTTAACTCTAAATAATAAAGCCTTCCAGTTTAACATCAACAACTTCTTTGACCAAACCAAAGGTGCAGAGATACAGTTCCTAAATGCAAAACGGTTCCTGATTGTACACCAAAAGAAGATCAAAGAGGATCTCCACCGACACTGTTTCACTGACAGCTAATGATGTCTCACCTCAAGCTGTATGCTCTGCCCCTGGCCTCTCCTTCACTGGGTAGCCTTGAAGACAATCAAAAGTTTAGCATAAGAAAGAGAAAAAAGGGAGACACCACAACACTCACAAACCAGGGATTGGAACAACCAAGGCCACAAACAGCAACCAAAGACCTCCGGCAGAAAACAGACATTAAAGAGGCAGGCACTGAATGGATATACATTAATACATTAAATGTGACCCTTTTCGTTTGGTTGAGAGCATCCTTCCTTATCCTTTGTTGCAGCATGACAAAAGGGAACAATATGTAGGCCTACTAGGGGACATTCAGCATTCCACAAACTGGTCATGTACATTGAGACTCACTCAACACACAAAAGATTCCAGATTAACGATTTCCTTTTCCCTAAACATTCATTTTCTGAGGACACACAGTGACAGCAAACTGAGTCTTTGCATCACCACCAGTAGGTCAAAGGGGGTTTAGTCAGCTAGTCGTGCACATATTCATAAGGGAGGGGGGCAGGTCTCTAGTGTTAAACAAAAGTGCTGGGAAAAGAACTATAATCAGGCAACTGCAAAAGCATCGATATCTGGGCACATGGGGAAGCTGCATGTCAGATTCACTGAATCACTGAACTACACTCACCTCTGCGAGGCCCTGAAAGACAGAGTTCTAGAAAGAAGAAACACAGCATTTTCAGAGCTAGCGTGGGGCGTGTGTGTGTGTTGGAAGGGCAATAAGAATAAGGATATTTTTAAAATTAGCAAACTACATAAATAAAATAAATGGTCATCATTCATATTTTAAAAACAGATCAGTTGCCTCTATAGATAAGTAACTCCAGGGTTCTCATTTTAAAGTGGGTGTATTTGAGCTAGTATCTCACCCATGCTTAAATCTATGCTGAAGTAGTGCGTAAGCTCAGAACTGGGCATCTATCAAATGCATACCATGCATATACCATCATGGCAGTGATAGTGCTAACTAGGACACAGTGATTGCATAGTCCACTGCAGCACTGTAGTCTAGTATGGCTCTGGCCTGCAGATGGGGGAGGGATGGAGAGATGCAAAACTATAGCCTCTTCACTAAGACAGAGAGAACCAACTGACCGATAAAGATCAAGCTCGTTTTACAACATGCCCTTGAGTGACTGTGGCAGGGTCAGATGCTGAAAACTCAGCAGTGTGTACATGCATATGTGTGCACATGTATTTGTGCATTAATGGGCACTTAACTTTCCCTCACCCCTCACTCAGCAGTAGAAAATCTATATTTAGTCTAATGCAAAAGTTTGAAGATCAAAACATTTTTATTGATTTTCTAAGTGAAAATAAGTTATAATAAATACATCCTTCACAGGGAACACGCTTAAATATGCTATTTCCTGTTAATTTAATGTACAATTTCTATGTGAAATATGAAATGTTCCAGAGCCTTTGTGCTGGCCACATTTTATGTTTTATTTGTTTTTCCCAATATGTTAGAAAATAAACAGTAATTGTACATTTAAATGTGCAGAAATGTGTTCTTTGCAAAGGGTGTGTACTTACTTTCACTTAGAAAATCAACAAAACATGTCATTTGACCAAGGGTGCCCAAACCTTTGCATACAACTGTGTTTGCTGTGCTCACTTGCATAGCTGATACAGAAGTGCATCACAATAATATTGCAGTGTGTCCAGCAAGAATTGTTCAAGAAGTTCAATAAGTGAATTCTACCAATTTTTCAAAATCAAAGTCATTCAGAGTGGTTTGATCTGAAATGCACGACTCTATAGAAACTTACTTATGTATGAGTTGTTTAAAGCAGTGGTGATAGGAACCAGATATCCATTTAATAAGCATTAAATGTCTCTAAGACAGTGGCTCCCAAACATTTTACAGTTCCCAAAGTTACAGTTTCATACGCAGTCATATGAACACATGCCGCAGAGTACACACACCACAGTAACATCACCTGCTCAGCAAATAACAGCACTACAAAACAAAGCAGTGCAAAAAAATAAGTAAACAAAATGCTAACCGCTAAGCACTAAGGACAGCAGGCCACAAACTAATAACTCCAGCACGCAACTAACAAGGATCATACATGCTTTCACAACAGTTAATAACAGATACTTCATTCATGCACACAACAGCACATGATAATATAATGTATATAATGTAAACTCCACTGTCATTAGTTTCTCCTGAATGCGTGACACTCATTGGGCTGGAGTACACCTTCATCTCCAACACTGCCTTATATAAAAATAATAACAAAAAATAGCAAAGTACTCACAGCCATATGCAAATGTTTGGGCACCCCTGGTCAAACTCCATTTTGTTGATTTTCTAAGTGAAAATAAGCACACATCCTCTACAGAGAACACAAACATTTTAATGCAAAATTATGTTTATTTGCTGAATTGAACATACTGGGGAAAAACAAAACATAAAATGTGGCCTGTACATAACTTATGGCACATTTTATATTTTGTGTTTTTCCCCCCAATATCTTAAACTAGAAACTGTGAAGGGAAAAAAAACAACATTTCAGTTCCGTGTAGAGGACGTGTAAACTTATTTTCACTTAGAAAATCAACAAAACATAATTTGGTCTGGGGCACCCAAACTATATTAGAGCATACACTTGCCATGTGCTGATGTTTGAATACTTAATTTGTATTTCAAACAAATAAAGGAGCAAAATACTAGATTATTAGAGTATGGGTCTGTCACGTGCTAGATATGAATTTGTTTGTCCATATTCACCCAATCCACCTATAATACTTAATGATATTGCATTCACTCATCATTCTGTGTAAAAAATGCATAACGCTATCCAAAAACCTGCCACTAGCCTTTTTTTGGCATTTTCCCCAATTTTCCTTCCAATTTAGTCAACTCCAAATCCACCCGCTAGCTAGGTCTCCCCCAAAACAGACAAAACTAAACACTGGCCATAAAATTGTGATCTGACATCACACTTAACTTTGATGGTGTGACTGTAAAATCTTCATAATAGTCTGTAAGGTGTACTTTTTGATCCTGTCCTTTCTTTCGATCTCATATTAGAGCTCAAAACAGCTTTTTTTGATCGCTTGTCTTCACGCCTTGCTCTCCATGAAAGATACTGGAACATTTGTTTCCTTCTTTCATATGATCCCACCTAGACCTCTGGAACTCCCTTCTCATTGGTATCCCAAACAAAACCATCCGCCCCTGCAAAACTCAGCTGCTAAAATACACTCACTCTAAAAATTTAGCTCACATCACAGCAGTACTATTTCAGTTACACTGGTTACCTGTCCTGCTTCGCATCCAGTTTAAACTCCTCTTGCTAACATACAAATCTCTATATGTTCTTGCACCACTGAGCTTCTGCATCCCTACTGCCCTGCCCAAACACTTAGGTCTACTGACACAGGTCTTTTATCTGTCCCAAAAATTTAGTCTGCTCACCGCTGGGCGCAGCTCCTTCAACGTCATGGTCCCCAAACTATGGAACACGTTACTGCAATCTCTGGTGACTGTCTTTTACTTTCCTCCTTCAAAGCTCCTCGTCTCTAAGAGCTTTGTTTGTCAGTAGCTTTATTCTTCTACTCACTGAAGGGTTTTTACCCTGCTTCTGTAAAGCAACCTTGAGTATAAGAAAGGAGCTGTTTAAATTGAAATTAGTATTATTATTATCACTGTTTTACCATAACACATAAAACTCTGAGGACATATAGTTTCACTGGTTGTTTTGGATACTAAATAATACGATTATACTTGTGTTGTGGACATCGTGACCACTTGATTCCTATCACCACTACTGCATTGAGCTCCACTTCCTCTACAATACAGGACTTCACATCAGACCACTCTGAATGAGTTTGCTTACATCTTATGATTGAATTATGCAGAAATTGCTGGAATTCCCCTTCAACAAATGTGGTCGGATTTTGTCTGCTGAAATAGGTCAGAGCTTCTGCATAAATTAAAGCATTCTGAATGACCACATGGAAGAGAATACAGGCAATATTTGGCCTCATTGCGAGAGAGAGGTGTACGGCTTACTCACCTACGCACAAACTTGGATGTAATCTTGCTGATGATTCCAGTGGAGGTACCCCTGTGAGCCTGGGCCAGAGCCCCTGTGTCATGGGAGAGCGTGGGTGAGGCTGGTGGGCCGTTGTAGGTGGCGCTGCGCCGATCTCGAAGCTGAGCTCCATGGAAAGTGCTGCGGCTAGAACTGCCTCGAGGGAAACGTGTCCGGTCTGGGGTCGTGCTGCTGATGCTGTGCGCCGATGGAGACGCAGCAGGAGCCCGGGCACTAGAGCTAGAGCTAGAGAGAAGGAGAGCAGCAATAACGTAAGCTAACAAAATTAAGAATGTTAAAGGAGCTAAACAGAGAAAAACCCAAGAAAAGAGATTCTAAGTTCTCTTCTTCTTTGATAAAGCACTGCATTAGTCATCAATCCTCTAAAAAGGATATACTTGAGGCTACTTTTGATGTATGGTCTCTGTACAGCTGCCATTAGGCTGAGTAATGGCCTCTCACCCCTTGAACTCAGTGTTATCCTCGATGGGAGGCAGCGGAGACTTGGTAGGGTGGCCTGAGGCGGACATGGACTTCACATGACGCGGCCTAGCTGAAGCCAGTGCTGACGAAGCTCCTGGAGACACAGAGGTGCCGCTCCCAGACGCAGACACCTCTGTCAGACTATGAGAGAGAAAATATATAGTCTATTAAATTAGTTAATTTCTGTAGTGAGCCTGTTGGCATGACTTGAGCCTCTTTGAGACTCAGCACTCTTCGTGCAGGGTAGCATAATGCAGCTCACCTGCTGTCCTTGCCGTTGGCGATGGCTGAATAGCGATCTGTACTGGAGCGCTCACACACATACGTATTCCTCCGGGTCATCCCTCCAGCTGCACTATTCTGTTAGTACACATATACACACAAAAAGGAACAGATCTGTCATGCTCCTCGACAAAAAGCTCAATATAACACTCCCTATTAGGAGAGGCCATGTCTTTTACCAAAGCTATGAGCTTCTACTAAACACATTTTATAGTTAGATTTGCAAAACAATTTTATACATTTTGTAAAAACATGTATTTACAGTACTGTGTAATTCTGTGAAAAAGTCAAAGAACACCCTCAATTTATGTAATTTCAAGGCCAAATGGCCACTAAGTTATTCATTTTTCATACTGAGGAGATCAGATGTATGATAATCCACAAAATATTATTAAAACATATAGAGAAAATCAGACTCCTAACAAATGCTGCTGGCGTCAGAACAATGGACTGGCAACCCCAGAGTTCAGACCTTAACACCACCGAATGTGTTTGGGGTTACTTGGATTGTTAATTGGTAATTGTTGAGGCAAGCAGCACAGTGGTGCGGTGGGTAGCTCTGTTGGGCCTGGATTCGATTCCTTGGCTAGGCCAACAGGGTCCTTTCTGTGTGGTGTTTGCATGTTTTCCCCATGTCTGTGTAGGTTTCCTCCTACAGTTCAAAGACACGCAGTCAGGTGAACTGGAGATGCTAAATTGGTAGGTGTGTGAATGTATATGTCTGTGTGTCTGCCCTGTGACGGCGACCCGTCCAGGGTCTTTCTTGCCTTTCGCCCAATGACTGCTGGGTTAGGCTCCTGCGACCCGGAAGGATAAGTGACATAGATAAGGTATTTGTAATTGTTGAGGCTCCTGTGTAATTTTCTGTTAAATATATTGTTCCTGATTTTTGTTCTGACACTGAATAATGAATAGCATAATGGCCATTTTGACTGGTCTCAAGCTTTTGAATAGCACTGTAATTAATGCAAAAAAATTGCACTCTCCAATACATTAACCTGTTGTGGGAATTGCATTACTATATTATTATATAATTATATATTTCATGTTCTATATTAACATGAAATTAGTAGATTCAAAATGAAATATTCTTCCACATATAAATTTAGCATGAATTAATGAAGGTTTTACTTGAATTTGTTAATGGAAATCCATGACATGACCTGCCAGGGCCAAGGTGAGTTGGCTTGGAATAACCTGTAGGCTATGACACAACACTATGTCAATAATTAGAGCTGTCAGATGTGCAACATGCAAGCCCAGTACATGGACAAGCTCACCCCTGAGGCTGTAGAGGACTTCTTACGTTCCTGTGCGGTCAGTGGCGACATGGCCATATCTCCCTTTGAGCTGGAGGCGGGGAGCTTGCGTGCCGCCTCCCACTCCTCCTTCTTCTCAACCTCCACACTGTTGGCCTGCACACGTTTAGTGTAGGACATGGCTGGTGGGATGGAGGGGGCAACTGCAAGTCACATACAGTCATATTAGACAATACAGCCCTCCCTATTTGGCTACAGTTACAGCTTTTAATCAGATTTCTCCCGTTGTGTACCTCACTGTCTATCTGTGTATGTAACTATATCTCTATCATGCACAAACACATTATATACACCCAATGCCAGGTCAAATAGCCAAGATTGGCAGTTAACAAGGACACAAAGTACACAAAGTGCACCAGCATTTTTTTTTACATTACCATAACCTAGCAGACCTATGTAGGTTAGGGTGGAATAATGCGAGAAAGTGAAACTTGTAATGTCAAAGTGTTTAAAATGTTAAAATGAACATTTTTGTACATTCAACATAGAAATACATTTATCCAATAAATTAAAATTCTCAACTGTCCTGTTAAAGAAAAAAAGACAATTCTGTACTGTCTTTGTGGCTGTGGCTTTCACACAATTAGAGGAGCTGCGGACATCTCAAGTCATACAGACAGTTATGGTCAGAGAAAAGTTTGTCTGATCTACAGGTACCACTGCAACACTCACTAACATGCCACTGCTATGTCAAAGCTGAGAATGATCCCCCACCCAACTAATACCTGCTCTGTGGTGGTCTTGACCATTAAAGAACAGAGGCAAAGGGGGCTGACAAAGTATGCAGAGAAACAGATGGACTACAGTCTTTAATTGTAGAACTACAAAGGTATATGTTAAGTGGAGCTAATAAAATAGATGAAGTGTAGATACAAGGAGGTGAACCCGATGAACTGCTGGTAATACATGCAATACACAGCGGATCACATTATAATATGCTCATTTCACCAGATACCTTAAAAAATGTGTACACTGCAGCTAAGTTACATCAATCAATGCATCCTTGAGGAGATTTAGAAGTAGCTTGTCTCTTGCAAAGCATAAAATGTCACACAAACAGGCAAATCCCTTACCATCAGCAGCTAAGCTACCGAAAGACGAGTACGAGAAGAGAAATTTAGGGTTTAACAGTAAGTAAGGGACTAGGCAAAGTTCTGTAAATCACCTTCATAAAAACTATAAAACAGGGCTGGAGTTACAGTGAGTGGACACATATTTTCGAACAACAGTAAACAGTAAATTTATTTCTTTAAAATACATGAGCGTGAACATGTCAACCATACTGTATGTTGGCTGAGAACTGAAGTGACTGCTAGGTATCAAGCTAGTTAATTCGCCTGTGTTTGACAGCACAATAATATTAAGCAAGCCATCTGTAGCCTCAGTGTACAAGTAGACTGAATGAACTTATCCCTTCTGCAATTTGGCTATGCGGTTTCTCGGTCTGATAACCAAACAGATCGTGTACTTTCATTTCTTCATTTCTTTGCATCTTGCTTTTTCCATCCCTCACTCTAGCTTCATAGTTTAACTTTCTCAGTTACCATCATTATGCTTTGTTCTGGGAGCAGTGGCATTTGCAGGACTGGGCAATAGATACACACTGGAAACGCAGTGGGTCACTAACATATCTAGGTATGTTCACAGTATTCGCCCAGTATGTGCCGTTTGTCCCAGGTGCTCTCCATTCAGGTTTACACAAAACTACATTAGAATTGACCATATATTTTTCACTTTCTCACTCTCTCAGCGCTGCAGCACACATTTTTCCTAGAGTGCTAATGGCGTTGAACATGAGTGAGTGAATATGTGAGTGAGTTACAAGCCAGGTCCATGAGGTGCTTCACATCTAAAAATATATTACGGTAATTTTGCAGAGAGTGAAGTGTGTTGTGAAAGATTATGTATATGTCTATAGCTGACCATGGTCGCTATAGCGGCGCTGTTTCTGTGTGGCGGAAATACTGCGCTGAACTTTGGAGTGAGCTGGAGACTGCGAGGAGCTGTTGTTCAGATCACTGCTGGGTCGTGGCCTCTGACACAGGTTTGTACTGGACAGCGACTCGCTCCCTTCAAACTGCCAAAACGAGGTAATGGCACAGCATGAACATCACATCAACATAATAAATGATGACTCTTACCATAGTTGTCTGAGCATAACTGAGCCTGGTACTTGCCTCGGGAGGTTTTCTGCCCAAAAGTAAGTAAGTAGCCATGACATCATCATACTTCTGACCCACTAAAGAATCAGTGATCTCATCTTTGGGGAAACCCATTGTGATCATCAGGTCTGAGAGAGTGAGAGAGAGAAAGAGAGAGGTTACATAGTATTACCTAGGTCTAAACTGTTACAAAGGCTTTAGTTCAAATTTGGAAATTCTTGTGTGCAAGCAGAGAGGTTTAAAACAGACAGAGAGGGCACAAGAGAGAGAGAGAGAGAGGGCACGAGAGAGAAAGAGAGAGAGAGAGAGAGAGAGAGAGAGAGAGAGAGAGAGAGAGAGAGAGAGAGGGCATAAGAGAGAGAGAGAGAGAGAGGGCACGAGAGAGAGAGAGACCCTCTAATAGCTAAAAAATACTATTTCAAACACAGCAAATGTGTGAAGAGAGATAGTAGTGTGTAACAGCATGTATGAACATGAGCTTGTAACACTGTGCATATAAGCACCTATTCGTTTGGTATCACTGAAGTCTGGCTCAGGCTCTGTGTAGGGTTTGAGCTCCTCCTCCTCATGGCCGACATTCATCCAGTGATCTTTCATGATTTGCTGTGTGAGAGACACATGCATTTATGCATCATCACATAAAAACTCCAAACACATAACATGTAGAGGCAACCACACAAACTCAACCTTGCAACCCTGTTTCATTGGGACACTGTGCAAAATGTAAAAACAAATAATTTATCCCTATATTTAACTGAAAATCATACAAAGACAAAGGCAACTTTATTGTTTTAAATATGCCCATTTTGAAAATGACGCCAACAACATGTTTCAAAAAAGTTGGGGCAGGGGCAACAAAAGACAGGTAAAGTTGTGTGTGGGGGGAAAAAAAACCCCTGGTGGAACATCGCACAACTAATTTATATAATAATGAAAGGTTAATTTGCAACAGCTCAGTAACATCATTAAGTATAAAAAGAGCATCCCAGAGCAAATGAGCAAAACCTTATCACACTGCCCAAGCCCATTAGTGGACTTGCATAAAGTTTTTCACTGTGGCTCTAAAAGGGACACAAACCTCTAGACTGCCACGTTTGCCAGGGTTTAGCACCAGCAGTTTCTTCAGTAGATTTTCACAGTCTGTAGACATATAGAACGGGATGCGGTACTTCCCTCTCAGCACTCGTTCTCTAAGCTCCTGAGAAGAACACGTTGACAGGTTTCAAAGAGAAAGCCCAGCTCAAATATGCACTGCAAATGCACTCTCACTAACTGTAGCCAGTAGCCCCTCAATGTGCTTGTATGACGTGAAAAAATAAACACCATTAAAACCGAGAATTAAAAACTGACCTTTAAATTCTGTCCATCAAAGGGCAGCGACCCACTGACCAGTGTGTAGAGAATGACACCCAGGCTCCAGACGTCCACTTCAGGGCCATCGTACTTCTTGCCCTGAAAGAGCTCAGGAGCTGCATAAGGAGGGCTGCCGCAGAACGTGTCCAACTTGCTCCCGATGGTGAATTCATTACTGAAGCCAAAGTCTGCAATCTTTATGTTCATATCGGCATCCAGAAGCAAGTTCTCAGCCTGCAGAGAGGGACACAGAGAGCGAGAAGAGAAAAAATCTTGGTACAGAAATAGGCCAAAAGGTGATGCAGAAAGGACAAGCCACATCCGATAAGCCACACAGCCTCAGACAACTCACCTTGAGATCCCTGTGGACTATCCTTTTCTGATGGCAATATTGCACTGCAGACACAATCTGAAATACAAGCAGGTAACAGACAGACAGTGAGAGAGAGAATAAAAACACTAAAGCAAGCAAAAGAGAGAAAAGGAGTGAGAGAAAAGAATGGGAGTAAGAGAAACACAGAGAGCTTAGACTATCACTAATCACCCCCTGCCACTAAGAGACTAGCAAAGTGCCAGCTACATCCTGTGGCATTCTGGGTGTTATTATATGTGAGCTATAAAAACGATGCATTAATTATCAAACAGCTGCAAGAGGAAATCCATTAGTGTCTAATGATGAAATCAAACAAATGCCTGTTTAATTACTGCCATGAAAGTGCAAGCTTCAAAGTCTTGTAAAGAGAGATTTCTGTATTATACAATGACAGCCCTATGCCACTAGTGGGCAGTATGTGTGTTAAATGAGGCACTCATGTGAGCAGATTTTACTTCATCCTCTCACCTGTCGAAACTTGGCCCTGGCTTCCTTCTCCTTCATTCTTCCATGTGCAACTAAGTAGTCAAATACTTCACCTGAGAGAGAAACACACAGTATAGTTTATCCCATCTATCAAAGTAGATCAACTTTACTACAGCAGCATTTTAACTCACCTCCACTGGCATACTCCATTATCAAATAAAGTGTCTTCTCTGTTTCAATGACTTCAAATAACTTAACTGGCAAAAGAGAAGAATGGGATATTAGCTATGAAATCAAGAGAACAAATGTGGAATCTTGACTGCTAAGACTGGGTATCAAAATTCAATACTTTTACAGTACCAATCACATTACTTGAATAATACAGAGTACTGAAGAATTACTTCATTTTATGGATACAAACATTCATACACGCACACACACAAGGGGGACTGTTGAAGGGCTCGATACAATGAAGTGTTTCTCTTGTTCTGGCAAAAGAAAGGGGCACTTTACACTCATTTCATCATACAATATAAATGAACAAACAGGAGTGAAAGACAGACTTTAGACAATGACGAGTTTATTTAAGAAGTGGAGTCAAGAAGCGAGACTAAATCCAGAGTTTTGAGCCTGAGAGCCTGAATTGGATTACTAGGCCTCTGTATGTACAGCTGGAAGCCATTTTACAAAAAAGTGAATCCATGAACATAAAAAGCTGACGTCTGTGTGCATGTTGCATGTTACTAGTTTTAAAATGGAAGATGAGTAGGCAGTGGTGTCTAATCACAGCTTTTAGCCTGATTAATCCACAATCCAGCTCTGTTTCAGCCAAGGAGCCTCTCTCTCAGACGCACACCCAGGTTTACAGCCTGGGCCACATGCCAGGAGACGATGGAAGCAGAAAGAGTGGCCAGTCATCAAAACTGACAGCAACATCTGACTGAGGCAGGTTTGTGTGACATTTGGGAAAAAAAGCAGAGAAAACTTCAGAAGAAGAGCGTCTATCATAAGCATTGTTCTCTGACAATATGGTCCATTAGGAACACACAAAATCCTGTTCAAATCTAATCAGAATGCAGAGTCACAATCAGAGGGAAGAGAGAAAAGCAGAAGAAAAAAAGTGCAAAGTCATGAGGGAAAGTGAGCCATGGAGTGAAGAAGGAGAGAAAAAGAGATAAGAGTGGGAAAACAACCCCCATTACTCCAGAGACGGGCATTAATCAAAAAGACAGAAAGGTTATGAGGGAGGGAGGGAAGGATGGCTAGAAGAGAATGAGAAAAGAAGGAGAAAAAGAAAAAACAGAGAACTAGAGAGATGTGAGAGAGAGAGAGAGAGAGAGAGAGAGAGAGAGAGAGATCTTTATAGCCCCGTTAGACAGAGGCAGGCTCTGATCATGCTTTATGAGGGTAATTCAGTGGCCTCTTGCTGGGCTAAGGGTAACTCAAAGGCACACAAACGCATGCACTCACACGCGCACACGCCACACACCTTCACGATCAGCAGAGAAGCAGCAGCCTCTTCTTGCAGGGTGTGACTGGGACTCTGCTACACATTTCAAGCAGTATATGCACAAAAACAAGCAGTGTATGTACAAAAACATGATCTTACCTATATTAGGGTGATTCAAAATCTTCATAATTCGTACTTCACGAAAAAGCTGTTAAGAAAAACAAAACTGTCTTTTTAAAAAAGAAAAAATTAAAACAGACACAACTACAACGGATTTCCAATGTCCCTGTACGCCTGTGACGTGTGGCTTAGAAGCTAGCTTGTCCACTTCTCTCTCCCTCCGTGTTACATGTTTTATTAGGGGCCCCACTGCAGCCTGACCAACCTGCCCTAGTGGCTCCCACCAGCTCACTAAAAATGGCTGGACGCTCGACAGGACATGCTGTTTTTCTGAAGCATAGGCTTCTATTTCCTCTCAGAAAAACTTAACCATTAAGACTTAAGAACTCAAACAGACTTGCTATTCAAAAAGCCGGAACAATCTCTTTTTTTATGGACAGAGCAACAGGAGGTCTTTTCTATGAATGAAGAGTGAATGAATGAAGCTTCCTTCTCTTGCATTTCCTCCAAAGAGTGGTCGCTTGGCTGGTCTCTGACTGACATGACTGGTTAAAAAGGAGAGACTGATGTGAGTACTACAGATGATACTTCGCTCAACACTGTACTGGAAAGGCACGTACACAGGCCACAGTGTAAAGAAATTTCTTAAACATGCATGAAGTATCCTCAGGTCCTAAAGCAATTTAGAACACCATTATTCATACTTTAAGTTTCACGACTACATAGACTATTCAAGTGTTATATTTTATACATTATTCCAAGTCCATCTACCATAATGTGAATACATCACAGGCCTAATGTCAACAGAGAGCGAGCAAGGCGGAGACCCAAGGCAGAAAAAAAGAAGCTGAGAACAAGTGTGGGATATGAGGAAAAAGACACAAGGGGTGTGTTCAATCAACTCCATCCACTGCAGACCACAAAAATCCTGCAATACACTCTGACAGATCAATGTATCACACGACAAAGCTTATTTTATTTGTCCTTAAGAGAAATATTTGTCACTAGTCTGTGTGCTTGTCTGGTCTGTTCAGTATGTCATACATGTGTGCACTCACTAAGACAAATTCCTTATGTGTGTAACATAGCAAAATAAAGAAATTCTGATTCTGATTCAATATTCGTATACTGAATCATAAACAACCCTTGTAATTCAGAGGAATTCATACTGAAATGGTTCTTCAGACTGATGTCGAAAATCTTGTGCATGGTTCTATATAGCACCAAAAAGTGTTCCTCTATTGTTACAAACTTGACATCATTTATGATGAACTTTCTTAAAGAAAGAGAGAGCAAAATAGAGAGTAAATAAAGCTTACAATGGAAAAAACACTGGAAAAAAAACCCAAAACTTTGCTCGGCAGTCTGCTGCTGCATATCAGCTGAAGAGAAATCCAGGTGTCTATTTTTAGAAAGATGTTTCTAAAATTAACCAACAGCAATGCTACAGTGTTTCACACCAATGCGTAGGTAACTTCCTATAGCGTTTACATAGGAGTTCTATTTGTATGCTTGTCTGTGTTTGACCCTGTTTCATAGTAAAACACAAAGTGAACAGAGACCCACTTCAAAACAGGATAATGACGCATACAGAAAAAAAAAACACTAACTCACTGAGGTTAGTCAGAACCAATTAACTGCTTCCAGAGGCTGCCACATCAGAGACTGTAGCATTATAACCATATGCTGAGTGACACTCTAGCAAGCTCCCACAACAGAGCCACACTAACGCAATGATTCAAGACTCTGTGAAGTTTTAAGTAGTCACCATTGATCTTGGTTGACTAAAGGTTAATATATATGGATTCATTTTGCAACCTACATCACTTCATTAAAGAGAGGATTCGGTTTTTTCAGAATTTCTGCATTGGTAAACTAATTAGAATGTAAACAAAGTCATTCAGAGCAGTCTGATGTGAAATGCATCATTCTTGAAAAATTTGCCAAGTCTGAATTGTTCACAGAGAGGTGAGAAGTCCTAATGCCTCTGTATGTATCTGAATGTAATCATTATAGCCTGAACTAACCTTAAGTAAAAGGAACACAATATTGGAACCTTTAAAAGGTCACTTGTTTAGCATTTACACACCAAAGAGCATTTAAACACTACAAGAACTGTTACAATGTTTGCTCTGAGTCATGGATCATGGATAATCATGACTCAGGAGCATGCAGTAGCTGTTCCTGTGCTGCAACTACTGCATGCAAGGTCAGATGGGGTGACATGTTTTACACCATCAGCTCCCAAAACTACACAGTTTCAGCTGCAGCTAATCATCTTCAGCAGCAGCAGCACAAGCATAAAGGTTACTTCACAATGCAGTACAGTACTAACTAATCTGCACTGGTAAGTGTCCACACACAGACACAATTATAATAGACTAGATCAGTGAGGGGGCCTTTCTGCAGTTATCATAATTACATAAACCCACAGAAGCATCAGTTCAAGAAAGTCAGGCTTGACATCTGCTGCGAAACATGCACATAAAGATGGGCTTTGCACAGTACTTGTACATAATGCATTTCAAAATTTTCTACTCTTTAAAAGTACTAGCACTTAATGGATTTCTTTTACAACCAAATTAATAATGAAAATAAACTGAAAATATATCAAATAAATTCAACAAGGAGCTCACCTTTTGTAAACTAGTGGGGTTTAACTGCGTCTTATCAATAATCTTTACAGCAACCTGAAAGAGAAAATTGTGTTAATGAGTAGAATTCAGCATGGACTAGGGCCCAACCGATATACTGTTTTGTGAACCTGCAGTTATAACGAACGGGTGCGGTTTGATCTGGTTCAGAGAAGTTTTGGGCATGTATTCAAGGAAAAGATCTGGGCGACTATTGAAAAGTCAAGAATGATAATATAGTGTTAGCTAAGTTGGCCTCGTAACTCCAGCACTAAATTAAAGAAGCAACATTTTTTACAATTAACTTTTTTTGACCAACTATTCCTTTAACTATACGTTAGTAATATAGGCTAAAGTGGTGGATTTGAAGAAACAAAACAACCATCATAGTTAACTTGACAAAAATATTTCGCTTAGGCGTAACCAACATTTTTTTGTGTAGAAATTTAATAAAAATGAGAAAATATCATTTAATAGCACTGTTTAGCATTGTTTAACTAAAACTGCTGCAGTATAAGATGAAAATCCAAAATTATATCAGCCAATATTACTGGTTATCAGTAATTTTGAACCCCTTAAAATTGGTACTGGCCACAAAATGTTCATATCAGTTGGGCCTTAGCAAGGTGTAAATGTAGGCTCATCTCAAAATGAGAAGGGGCTACTGAAAATGCATGCAAATACACCGAGGCACACACTGACATACATATATACACACACACACACACACACACACACACACACACACACACATATATACACAAATGCTTGTAAAGAAGACCTGTACAGTCTAGGGCTTGGACTGGTATTTCTCATGTTGTTGAGTTGAATAGGTCCTGGCTCAATGCCACTGACACCAGCAGCTAAAGTAAGGTCTAAGGAGAGCTTTGGGCTTTCTAGCATGCTTTACAGTAAAGGAGCATTGCATTTTAACAGCTTTAAGCACTTCTTGAAATCACTTAGCTAAAAACAGGAAATATCTGTGAACAATTCCAGGGTTTTATCTTATCTTCCTCACTGTCTTATTCGGCAAACAATCACTTCCCTTCTTGGCAGAGAGAAGACAAAAAAGACAATAAAAAAAAGATATTAAAAAGTCTAACTACGGCTCCTAATACACATCACTTCCAAGCATTAGACAGTTTATGTTAAGAAGTATTCTCTCTTCCTGGATTTGCTTATGACAAAGGAGCTTGTGTACTAGAGAAATATGTACTGTAAGATCTAAAGGCTCCAGGGCATGGATGTCATCAGCTATCCGGGCGTGTGGTAACCACTTCATCGCTTATGTAATGCTGAGTTCCCTGACAGTCCTGTGGATGACTACTCTGACGTACATAGCATCAATAATGGATTGTGTTTCCAACTCTAGGTAAGTGCCTGCTTTTATCCTTTCATTTTAGAACTCTCAGAAACATCTCAAGCAAGCCAAATTCAGTGTGAGTGCAAGCTTGACTTTAGGTTTATGCTGATATAAGGCTTGTCAACATATTAATAATGGTGTCAAATATTAAAGTATTTCTAATTTGATATTCTGTTCCCAGCACGTGACTGTTATTTTTATAGGGTCAATAATGGACTTCTGGTTTTAACTTTCATGAAGATATTACAGAGATAAAACATGTTTTGCAAAAGTGAGCGAGGAAGAGAGAAATAATCCCTTTATGCATTACCTCACGACCTGTTAAAACATGGCGCGCAAGCTTTACTTTGGCGAAGTTGCCCTTCCCAATCGTCTTCAGTAACCTGTAGTTGCCAACATGCGGCTGTTCGTCTGTAATAGATGCCACAGAGTTCCGACATCGTGGGAGACTCTGTCGACTAGCCGATTTTGCTGGAGGTGCTGGGGGTTCCACATAGCCGTCCACTGATGTATGCTAGAAGACAGAAAGGTAAGAAAATCAGGAAACTAGTAAACTGCAAAAAAAAAAAGATAATTTTTGTTCATAGTCAAATAGAACTCTTCAAATGCACATGCCCTAAAGTGATGTTTGGCAACTTCAGACTCATTGTTAAGGAATCTACTCCTTCTGGGAGAAGATTCCTTAAGAACGAATAATAAATTGAGAGCACTTCCTCTATATGTGTGGCTAAAAGAACTGTGGTTGCTAGTGTCTTCATATGGCTTGCATAGGAAGATATTCTTTCTAACTCCCCTTGGACAAGACAACACTTCGTCATAAAATGACTGGGGGCTCGTTCAGTGAGTGCGTATGCAGTCTGTATAAAACTCCAAAATGTGGCGGAAAAGTACAACTGCTAGGTAAATGTGCAGGTTTATGGGGTGAAAACTGATTCATGATTAAGGCTACACTATGTACGTTTGGGGATTTGGAGACCTGGTACATGCAACACACAACATTTTGTAACATCTGTTGTGCTTTGGACCCTGTAGCACAGCCTGTGCTACTCCGGGATCAGGAAGGACGCTGGAGGCAGGGCTGAAGGTTGTGGCAGCCATTTTAACTTTATTTTATTAAAAGAGCTTGCCCTGTCCAGGTATCTGGGCTTTAAACTAGCATGCCTGCAGTCCAGACCTGTCAACTGATGAAAGCAGCCTGAGTCCTTACAAGCACTAAAAATCTTGATCATATCAACGCTACATTGGTTACCACTTAAATTCCGGATTGAGTACAAAATTCTTTTACTCACAGTCTCCAAATGGCCATGCCCCTCAGTACTTGAGTGAACTCATCTGTTATTATTAACTGTCCCACCTACTAAGCTCACAAGGTGCTGGCTTACTATTAGTATGTAAAATTAATAAAGTTACATCAGGGAGCAAAGCCTTTTCATACAAAGCCCCCCAGCTTTGGAAAAACCTTCTAGTCAGTGTTCAGGCTTCAGACAGTTTTTAAGTCTACGCTAAAAACCTACTTGTTTAGTCAAACTTTTCTAATCAGTTTTTCCCGTTAGACAAAAGGTGCAGATCTTGGGGTTCATAGACATAGAGTATTATGGTAAGCTAAGTATGTTGGTGCTCTCATCTCGCTGCTCTCACACATTCTTGCAAGAAGGGCACGGACATCTGAGGGAGGCTTCACATCTTTACCTTCTGGCTCTCCTTTTTAGTTATGCTGTAATAATTAAGCCTGCTGGAGCCACTACTGCACCTTTAACACTGTGTACTGTTCTTAATCACTTCTAACAGAACTAATTGTGCGTTTCTTTGCCGAGATGAACAACTGCCCATCCTGTGCGGTCTGATGCTGTTGCTTCATCTGCCTTGATTGTGTGGCCCCTGCCTTCTGGACCAATTTGACCACCATGGTTTGCCTCACCTGCATGCCACTGGCCCTCCTGAAGATACTGCTGCAGACACAGACTCAAACTATTCAAAGACATCGCTTCACAAACTACATAATTATAGACATTATTTCACCTGCCTCACAACACTCTGAGCTCTTTTCATATTCATATTAACAGATCATTATTACAGGTTTCTAACAATAGTCATTAATGTTCATAGTTTTCCCTGTGACACTGGTTTTCACTGGTAAGAATGACTGATTTTTACATATTGTTACTCTTGCCTTTAACAGTAGTTATGCTATGCTAAGTGTAAATATGTATAAACTTATATTAAACTTATATCATTATTATCTGTTCTTATTGCTCTTGTGTTAATGTTTTGCTATCCAGCATCGTCCAGAGGAGGATGGGTTCCCCTATCGCATCTTGGTTGCTCTCAAGGTTTCTTCCTCTTGCTCTGGAGTTTTTCCTTGCCACTGTCATCATTGGGGCACACACACGCATACAAAACTTTGACTTGAATTGAGCAGCTGAAATCTTATCTCAAAGGAGGGGAACATTTTACTTTTTAAACTACAGCAGTTGGTCTCCTCAGTTTCCAAATGCTTACACAGTGTTGTTAAAAGAAGAGATGATGCAACACAGTGGTAAACATGCCCCCGTCCTAACCTTTTAAAAATGTACTGCAAGCGTCAAATTCAAAATGGGCACATATTTATCAAAAAACAAAAATTTTGCAATTTCAACATTTAATATGTTGTCTTTATACTACTTTCAATTAAATATAGGGTTTAAATGATTTGCACATCACTGCATTCTGTTTTTATTTACCTTTTGCACAGCTTCCCAAACTTTTTCAGAAACGGGGTTGTACGTACGGATACATACATACATATGCACACATGCGCACACACACATACACGTGCAGACGCGTGCAGACGTACACACACAGTCAGTGGTGTAGCTGCTGCAATTTGTGTAAAATGTTCTTGTTAATTTTATTATATTTACTCAAACTGTTCAAGCTGATGTTTATCTTGTCTCGGGCTGCTTGTGGTTCACCATTTTCTGGGCTTATCATTTTTGGTGTATTTGTGGTATGCCAGAATCTGTTTCATGAGACATTATCATACCGGCATTTACTTTCTTTTAAAGTGAGGGTCACACAAGTATTCAGACACTTTTGTTTTTGTTAATAATATTCTTCCAATGTATATACCCCCTTAAAATTCACACACAATGTCTTTTGACCTTGTGCTGATTAATATAAGTAAACTGATAATCTTCATGTAAAGATTACAGGCAGTAGCTTCAAATGATAAAAGAACTAAATAAAATCAAACCATTGAACACACCATTGCAAGTATATTACATATAACTCTGCATGTGTCTTCGTGTCACTGGAAGTCCGTTTTGTGCAGTAGTCCAATCACAGTCAAGAGGCGGTCTTAGAGTGAGCAAACAGGTGATTAGGACCAACCGCAGTCACGGCAGGTCTCAGAACAAACAAGGTGGTAACTGGAGTTCTGTTCAGCAGACGGCACACACCATACCACGCAAACTCAAGCTGTTTTAGCAAAAACATGCTGCTTTGCTTCAAAACACTGTTTTTGTTTGTATACTTCTGTTTAAAAATAAGTTTTAGATACTAAAAAAAATCCAGTGCAAACTGCACCTTCTGTCATTACAAAACCCGCTGCCATTGGTAGAGAAGACTTCAAGCAACAAACAGTCACGAAGGAGCTTCCTAAAGTTCTCAGGGACAAAATCATTAAACACATGAATGAAAAAAAGTCACAGAGTGAAAACTCATGGAAACATCAAAATCGTGCCGAGACAGGTGCGCCAAGCTGGATTCCACAACATGCTCTAAAACTAATGATAAGGAATGCAAGAGAGAAGCCAGCAGACACTCGAAAAGAACTGCAGGATGACCTCAAAGTAGCATGAACAACAGTTATACACAGAAAAATAAGAGAACTGAAGAGCAATGAACAGCTACAGAATTATGTGTGTTCTATACCCCATGCAAAACTCCTTTGCTAACACAAGAAATGAATGTTTAAAATTAGCAAATAAGCATTAAACTCTGGCAATAACTCAGCTCTTCAAGTTAGGAGAAAAAGGGCTCATACGATTACAGAAACCCCATACCCACAGTGAAGTATGGAGGGAAGTGCATCATAATATGGAGCTGCTTCTCTACAGATGGTACTGGGGCACTACAGGTCATCGAAGTAGGGCTGCAACAAATGACTAATTTGATAGTCAAATAATCTATCGATTATTGAAACGAATGATCAATCATTTGGTTCATGAATCACTAAATTAACAAATAACTAATGTACCTATCAGCTTTTAATTTTAGCTTGAGGTTGCTTTATGAATTTGCTAACTAACAATGAAGACAAAGTTGAATAAGCTATTTATGAATTCATTGTTTTAATGAACTTTCCTGCTAATACAGAAGATAAATAAAACAACAATATCTTTTCCTTAGAATTTCCCTTAGAAACTGAAGGACAAGAGGAACGTTTCAACAAGACAACAGCCCAAAACACAGCCAAAAAAATAAAATAAAAACAAAAGGATCTGAATACTTTTCCCCTCACTGTATACCAGCATATTTCTTCTCCTTAGCTGGATCCTGAAGAAGAGAGTGGACAAGAAGATTCCTCGGAGGGGAAGTGTGGAGAAGAAAAAAAACACTGTGGAAACCAGCAGAGAATGCTCGATTGTGAAGCAGTTCCTTTAGAGCTTTAAAAAACGTTTATGAACGTATAACAAAGCAGTGTGTGACAGTCATCAAGGCTAGAGAAGGACGGACAAAATACTGAAATTTTAGCCATCTAGTTCATAGATTACCAAAAACAATGGTTGACAAACCACTGACAACTGATTGACACAAAAACAATAAAGTATCTGGTTAACAGATATTTTAAACATAAAACATTTCTCTAAACTTTTTTCCAGTGTTAAAAACATCCACCATGTTATATAAACAGGTCAATAATCTGGCCCTTCCTTTCCTCACTCCATTCATTATAAAATGTTCATTACTAAATCACCACAGTTGTTCATTATAAAGAAAGGATACAACCCTAAAACTAAATTCACAAGTAATTTTAACCACATAATAAAATATAAAAAGTCATTGAAATTAACAGGAAAAAGAGAGGTACTCCAGAACGAAGATGGGAACCTCTAAAACAGAGCAAACAAATCCCCTGGTAATGCCACTACAGCCCCAATACCATTATGAATATATGCATGAAATTCATTATATACACATTTTGCCTCTGAATGGAAAAAAAGGAATGAACAGAAACTTTCCTACTGTCTGTTAATTAACTTAAGTAGAAAAAAAGATAAAAATTACTACAAAAGTGTCTAGACTACATAAAAATCCTTCTGAAACCTGGAAACAAGGGGTGAAATGATATTTACGATATTACAGGAGACCTAGACACGTCTCGACGGAACAAGTGCATTTTTATATGTATATTCACATAAGGCCTTTAGTGTGATCAGTACAACATGAAGGGGAAAAAAACACTTTTTTTCTATCAGTCTGAGTCTCACAATGGTTTTGTGGTTTCTGAGTACAAAAGCCCAAAATATGGCA